TCCTTCCAGAGCCCAGACCCGGGAATCGGGGCACCAGGCTCCCAACGCCCCTGCGCTGGGCTGCCGGCTGCGTGCCCCACCATTCCTCCCCAGCCACACGTGTGCCAGGCACACGTATGTTTGTGTGTGTGTGTGTGTGTGTGTTGCTCTCCCAAGACTCGCAGGGAGCCCCTGCCTCTCTGTGCCCCCCCCCGCGCGCCGCAGATCTGTAGACTCTGCACCCCAAGAGCCCCAGGGCGGCCGGTGGGGGCCCGCGGCGTGGCCCTGCGTGGGAACCCGCAGCCTCCGCCGCTCAGCCGCTCGCCCAACCCCTTCCCCTTCCATTCCACTCCCGAGATCTCTGCCTCGGCCGGCCGGCACTGGGGGAAGCAGCGAGCGGGGGAAGGGCGAGCCTTCCTTCACCCTAGCTCAGTCTGGGGCCCTGGGAACCTGGGCTTGGAGGGGGAGGAGGCAGCCCCCAAACAGGAAATGCCTCTCCGGGCTCCTGCTGCAGGAGGGCAGGGTGCAGGGGTTAGGGGCTGGGTGGGGGCTGGGCGGCACTCGGGGGTAGCAGCGCAGGCTCTGAGACTGGTGGTTTAATGGCCCTGGGCTGGCATGAAGACATGCACCATGCGACCCCCGACCCCGCGGCCCACGTGGAACCCTGCTCACCCCCCAGGTCCTGCTGAGTTAGCCTGGCTCCATTTTCTTCCCATATCCTAACAGCAGAGTGCAGTCGGCAAGAGAGAGAGAGAGAGACACACACACACACACACACACACACAGGGCTGTTGTGATGGGTGGTAGAGTGCCATGGGCCAGGGGTGGGTGACAAAGGAAATGATGAGAAATGGTCAGATTCAGAATTTATTTAAAAAATTAAGCTAAGAGAATGATCCGTGCATCAGTAGCAGAATTAGAATCTGGACCCAGGGCAGCCTCTAGAAGCCATTCACAACCCAGGGGTCAGAGCCTCTTCTCCATCTCCCCACAAAAAAGCTAATTTGCTTTCTCTTGCTATTTTTTAAACTAATGAATTAATTTGGTCTTGGGATTTGAACTCAAGGCCTGGGCATTGTCCCTGAGCCTTTTCAGCTCAAGGCTAGTGTTCCCACTTTGAGCCACAGCACCACTTCTGATTTTCTGGTGGTTAATTGGAGATCAGAGTCTCCTGGACTTTCATGCGCTGGCTGGCAGGCTTTGAACTGTGATCCTCAGATCTTAGCCTCTTGAGTAGCTAGGATTACAAACTTGAGCCACTAGACCCTGGCGGTTTGCTTCCTTTTCTTTTTTTTTTTTTTGGGGGGGGTAATGGGGTTTGTGTCGGTCATGGGGTTTGAATTCTGGGCCTGGACACTGTTCCTCAGCTCTTCAGCTCAAGGCGAGTGCTCTACCACTTGAGCCACAATGGTACTTCTGGGTTTTTCTGCTTATGTGGTGCTGAAGAATCGAACCCAGGGCCTCATGCATGCAAGGCAAGCACTCTTCCACTGAGCCACTTTCCCAGCCTTTCTTTTCTTTCTTCCTTTCTTTTTGGTACCAGTCCTGGGGCTTGAACTCAGGGTCTGGGCACTGTCCCTGAGCCTTTGTGCTCAAGGCTAGAGTTCTACCATTTGAGCCACAGCTCCACTTCTGACTTTTTTTTTTGGGGGGGGGTCTGGTTGTGGTGCTTGAATTCTTGGCCTGGGCACTCTCCCTCAGCTCTTCAGCTCAAGGCTAGTGCTCTATCACTTGAGCCACAGCACCACTTCCAGTTTTCTGGTGGTTTATTGGAGATAAGAGTCTCACGGACTACCTGCTCAGGCTGGCTTTGAACCGTGATCCTCAGGTTTCAGCTTCCCAGTAGCTAGGATGACAGGTGTGAGCCACCGGTGCCTGGCTTCTTACTTTTTCTGCTGGTTATTTGAAGATAAGAATCTCTTGGAGGGCTGGGAAGGTGGCTCAGTGGTAGAGTGCTTGTCTTGCATGCATGAGGCCCTAGGTTTGATTCCTCAGCACCACATAACCAGAAAAGGCCAGAAGTAGTGCTGTGGCTCAAGTGGTAGAGTGCCAGCCTTGAGCTGAAGAGCGGAAGGACAGCACCTAGACAAAGACTTCAAGCCCCACAACCGACCAAAAAAAAAAAAAAAGAAAGAAAAAGAAAAGAATCTCACAGACTTTCCTGCCTGGGCTGGCTTTAAATTGTCATCCTCACATCTCAGCCTACTGAGTAGCTAGGATTACAAGTATGAGCTATGGGGTTACAGCTGCCTCAAAAGCCTTATAAGAAAGGGAAAAGGGAGTAAGAGGTACAGAGCAGATGAGGTTGATTGGTTTACTTTATATACACGACTAGAAATGTCCCAATGAATCTCCCCTTGTAAAACTAATGTAGCTATCTTAGGGTGTTGGTGTCTTATGCCTGTAATCCTAGCTACTTAGGAGGCTAAGATCTGAGGATCAAGGTTCAGAGTTCATTCAGGCAAGGAAATCTGTGAGATTTTTGTCTCAAATTAACCACCAAAGAATTGGATGTGGAGCTGTGGCTCAAGTGGTAGAGCACTAGCATTGCGCAAAAAGGGCTCAGAAACAGCACCTAGGAACTGAATGTAAGCCCCAGAACTGGCACGCACGCATGCACGCACACTCCTCCCCACACACACACATGCGCGCACACACACACACACGCACACACACCTATGTCAGATCCTGTCCCACTCCTCCTCTGTTCTGAACTCTGGAAGGTCCAAGCCTAGGTCCACATCTCCCTCAGAGGAAGCCAGAATCCTTGCTATATGATCTGTCCCCAAACTGCTCATCCTCATCCCGCCCACCCTGTCCCCTTCACTTCCTCCTACTCAGCCACTTTCACCTCCATTCAGGTCCTTAAACTCATCAGGCTCTCTGCCCGGGTCTCATGCTTTACTGGTCATCCTGTCTGAACCATTCATTCATCCTGCGATATCCAAATGCTCTAGTCTTCATTTTCACAGGTCTCAGTTCAAGAGTCCAAGTCCCAGAACTCACCCAACATTGTTGCCTCCCCCTCCTCCCCGCTGGTATTCTCTGCCTCTGTCTTCTTCCATTTTCCCCCTCTGCACCTATACCTATGGTATGTACTTAATTGTTGATTTCTTTTTAGCCAGAGTCCTTTTAGTTAGAGTCCCTTAGTCTTGCATTACTGATACTCAGGGCCAGGCTGTGATTGTAAGGTATTTAGGGTTAATCCTATTAAGATGTGGCTAGCATCAGTTCAGAAGAAACCATCAAATAGGTCTCTAGAGGCTGGGAAGGTGGCTCAGTGGTAGAGCGCTTGCCTTGCATGCATGAGGCCCTGGGTTCGATTCCTCAGCACCACATAAGCAGAAAAAGCTGGAAGTAGCACTGTGGCTCAGGTGGTAGAGCACTAGCCTTGAGCTGAAGAGCTGAGAAACAGTGCCCAGGCATAGAGTTCAAGTCCCATGACCACCACCAACACAACAAAAGTGTTAGTCTTGAACAAAAAAATGTGAAGGGGCAGTGTTCAGGCCCTAAACTCAAGCTCCAGTACCAGAAAAAAAAAAAAAAGGTTGTTGAATGACTGCATGAAGCTCAGACAAATGAAGAACTTGGCTCCAGGAGATGCAATGGAAAGGCTGAGATTCCACCTAGAACCAAAGCCCACTTGTTTCCTACACTCACTTCAGTGCCCTCATGATACCACCACATCCCTACATCCCTGGGCTAGAAAGATCCCTGGCAATCAGCAAGTCTGTTTGCAGATGGGGAAACTGAGGCTCATAGAGTCTCAGGCTGGAGCCAGGAGTTCCTGATTCTCTGATTCATGTTCTAGTCCTCTTTTGTGTGTGTGTGTACATGTGCAGGTCCTGGGGCTTGAACTCAGGCCCTGGGTGCTGCCTTTGAGCTTTTGTACTTTAAGGGTAGTACTTTACCATTTGAACCACAACTAGTCTTTTTTTTTGTCAGTCATGGGGCTTGAACTCAGGGCCTGGGTGCTGTCTCTGAGCTTTTTTTCACCCAAAGCTAGCACTCTTATCACTTTGTGCCATAGCTTGTTTTCTGGAGAAAAGAGTCTCACAGACTTTTCTGCCCAGGCTGGCTGTGAACCGAGATCCTCAGATCTCAGGCTCCTGTGTAGCTTAAGATTACAGGTGTGAGCCACCAGCACCTGGCACATTTTTAGGTTTTTGGGGAGTAGTTAATTAGAGATAAGAGTCTCATGGACTCCCTATCCAGGGTGACTTTCAACTTTGATGCTCAGATCTCAGCCTCCTAAGTAGCTAGGATTACAGATGTGAACCACTGGCACCTGGCCTAGACATCTTTTGGTAGCTGCAACCAGCAGCATCATTTGAGTAGTGTCAGTGGGAAGAAGGCATTCTGGGAAGAAGGCCTAGACCAAAGCCTAAAGTGCT